TACTACCGTTGAAGCACTACTTTTCTAACTTATACTGCAGGGATAATGCGTGTAGGTGTTTCCTGTGACGTGCAATAGTTAATAAAATTCCAAGTTCGGTCGTTTTAACGGGAAATATTAATGTAAAAACAACTCGTCACAAAGCTGGATTTTGTCGTCCCACTAGCGACTCCTCCGCATTCTTAGAATGTGTTGAATAAAATAGTTACATATCCATGATATATATGAACTATATAAATAATATTGTATAATAAAATAACATAATTTTCCGGAATCATCTTTAGAGGCATTCGAGCGAGCTGTCATGAATTTTGCATTACTACTCTCCAATGAGATTCGTTACTAATTCAACGTGCAAGACCTTTCGCCGCGTACCAATAGAAGCGATTCGCCCACGTCCGATCTCTTCCGTTAATTTTTAATTGCAAATTTCGCAATAGCTGACGTAGGAAATATGAGAGAGATAGAGCAGCGAACGAAGAACAATAATCGTCTACGTGTCTCACAATTAGCCATGTTGCACTGTTATTTCCATCTAGGATTCTTGCGTTGCTCCCACGCGTTTCATTGTGATGCATCAAAACGCTTGGAACGTTATTACGAGAGAGCATTATTAGATGCACAAGCAGTTTGTATACCTAGATACAGTTTGTATAACATTCACGTTTCCTGATATTTGACATTTCCACCTAGCTAGATTTATGTCTAGATATGAATTCGTTTGTATAGTGCCTGATAGGGGAGTTTCGAAGGGCGCTCGTTGTACATCATATATAGAATTTCTGGAAAATAGTTCTGCGAGATTAAAATTGAAAAGAAAAGTAGCTAAAAATTTATTTAAAAAATATCTGGATACAGATATTAAAATAATTTTTAACTGTCAAATTTATTATGTAGAATGTTTAAGCATTGCTTATAGTGTGCTGCAAAAAATTTTAGCATTCTACCAACCAATTTGAGCGTCTTACATAATTATGTGGATGGTCCAAACAAAACTATTTTCAAATTTGTATTTGGCTAAAGTTTTAGATACTTCACAGCAAAACGATTCTTTTCGTGTACAGAAGAAATATAAGTTTTTAGATACTTCAGCAAGATCGCTCTTTTCATTAATATACTTTTTAAAACATTGCAAAGTTTTCATTACGTGTATTAAAGATAAGAAAATGAAGTATCTAATCATTATATCTTTAACTCTCTCTCTTTCTCTCGACATCTCATTTTGTAAATTAACAGGGCGTTTTAATTCAACGATCCTCGAATGATTCGTGAATTCCGGAATTATCCTGGAATTTATTGTATCTTTGAAAATCCCTGAAATTTTAGGACTGACTTGGAATTTTGTTTCATTCTTTATGCTGTTTATAATGGGATTATCACAAATAAAAAAGATACAAGTAACTTTGTGATTACAAAGTCTATGATTCATTTTGTTTACAATGCGAGTATCTGATACAAAGAAGTAATAACAAAAGAGAAAGAAAATCGAGAAAGAATAATATTGAAAAATCAAAGAAATGAGATAAAGTTTTAAAAGAATTAAGAAAAAAATGACTTTAGATGAAGCTTTAAAAGCAACAGCGGACATTAAAAATCAGATTAATAATTTAATGAGGCGTTAATAAATTAATAATTTTATAAGATAATGTTTCATATACGTTACTAAAAAGAAAAGTTGTGTTTGAGAGTATACACAATTCCCAGATGCAATAAAGGCAAGTTACTAATAAGAAACTTGGATTTAATGTCTACTATTATGAAACAGAAAAAAACAGAGAAATTATCGTTTGTGTTGAATATTTATTTAATGTATTTGGAGCAATAACATTGCTGTTTGGATTTTAATTTAAATGTCATACAGAATTCTAACTTGAATAGAAAACATATAACATATTGCGTAAATTAACAAAAAATAATCAATCTGGAAATACCAGGATTTTTATCTGAAAATCCTGGAATTATCCTCGAATTGATTAGCCACGCACATATCGCAGAGCATCCTGATTAGATTCGTTATGTTTAATCGCGAATTGATATAATGACAGAAATAATCTACATATATAGATTACTGTTACAGTGCAGATTTTTCTGCTCTTTTTTTTCTTTTAAAAGAAATGAAAATCGTGCACGATTCTTATTTCTATGCCATCGCCTGTAATTCTCTCCACGCAAAGGCTCGATGAGTCAGCCTCGACGAGCCGATCAGGTCGGAAATCGATATGAAGCAAATCGACGGATTGGAGCTTTCTCTACAGGCGGCCGACGCGCGATGCGAAGCGACGGCGACGCGAGCAGCTTCCTTCTTCTGCTTTAATGTTAAAGCCTTCAGAACTATCGGAGCATTATTGAGCGTAGGGCGAGCGAGAGAGGCGCGCGCGCGCGTGGAAGGATGGTCGGGTGCTCACCTTATCCATAGCACCCACGCGGATCGAATCCAATTCGTCGGCACGCGTCCAGATACCCGCGGAAGGTCACAGACGCCTTTCCCTCTCCCTCTTTACCACATCGTGTTTTGCATCAACCCTCTCTGTCCCATTTCCTACCCTCAACCCGTCCTTCACCCTCGCGAGATGGAGCGCGCGCGCGCGCGCGCTTAAAGCGCGCGATAAAGCTGTGGTGGCGGCGCGGCGGCCGTGTGATCGAACGCGAAAATCTTCAACGACAGCCGCCCAAATGAATGGAATGCCGACCTACGCCTGGCACAGTCGTCTGATAGGCTGTCGTCCCCTCCTGCCAGGGTGAAAGAGAACAAACCAGCGAGCCGAGTTAAGCCGAGCTGAGCCGAGCCGAGCGCGATGAACGGGGCGAGGCCGAGGACGGGCTTCGTGTAATGTAAACGGCAAGGGCCAAGGCCGTATTACTCGATGGCACGTTTTGCCATCCTCCTGGTGTGCGCGTCTTTCGCTTCAAACAAACTCTTTACAACCGCAACTTGACGTCGCGTATGTAACTGTATATGGAGTGCCCACGACTACGTGGGAGCGGGTTTGGCAAAATCTCATTAAATTCAAATCGATTTTTCCTATATCGGATGTTTAATTGGATCTTGTTGTCTGTGGAAATTCTAGAAATCTTCAACGTTTAATTTTCAACGCCTTGCTATTGTATAATTATGCCTCAAGAATTTATCTAAGCTGATCTAAAATTGTCTATAGACTATTATACACATTTTTGAATCGATTATAAACATTCATATTCTCATTCTGATATAATTTCAGAAAATGAGTAGTTTTACTGTTTTGCTTTAAATCAGTATTCAATATTCCTAAACTTTTTGTACATGGAAAATAAAACTTGAAATTAAACCTAGTTATTTTTTTGCCTCATCGATAATTTATGTTATTCTGGTAAATCAATAGACTCCTAGTACTACATTGTACTTGTAATACATTTCAATTTAGTACGTTGCAACCTAGATTAATAGATTATTTATGCTTCAAGCTTTCTAGGATTAATCAATATTAAAATACTATTAATATTAATTTTTTTTATCTTATTACTTTTAAATCTTTTACATAGTTATAAGTGAGTCATAAGTCTATTCTAAAATTATGAATTATGTTTCTTGATAAAAAAGAAAAACAAGTATTTCTGTGAAGATCGAAAATACTCTGTTATCGAAATAATAAACATAAATACAATAGTATCAAATAACGACTGTATTTAAAAATTTCAAGCATTTTTTGTTTCACGAGATGTTTAAAAAGTCTACCACTTTCCATACATAAAATAGAGAATTTAATCTGATACAGTCATAATTATTTCAAGTTTATCTATGTATATTATTTCGATGACGAAGCCTCTTCAATCTAAGATTCATGAAAATATTTGTTTTTCTTTTTCATCTCGAAACACGTTCGCGAAATTGAAAAAACGTACTTATGATTCATTCTGTATATTTATTTTCCATTCTTTACTTTTTCCTACACATATAAATAATACATAAATTAACATCATTGTTTATTTCAGTTTTCAAGGAACAAAAGCACAATCGAATTATTTCCATTTGGAAAATTAATTTCTAATCTAAACAAAAACCTTTCTCTTTTTTCCCTACGTACTTTTATTCTTCTATCCATATTAATGTATATTAGTCATTTTATAACAGCTATGATAATTATTGCAATGTAATCCTGACTTCTCTTTAACATCATCTGTGTTCAATATTGATGCACAGACTATTATAAGTGTATTATGCTTCCACGAAGCTCGGATTGATTCCGCGAGACGGAGAGGTCATTGTTTTGTCGTACATCTGGGAAATCGTTATAGTGCGCCTAGTATTACGTACCCTACACTGTCCAGACTTGGGCATATTATACGGCGGATATATCGATATACCATTATATCACCACACAATACACGTTATGCGTAGACTCATTAATTGAAGGACAGGCGCCGCGATAAGAATTATACTGTTTACAAATTTCTATCCCTGCCTCACCGTGGATCTCTCGAGTAACATCGTGCTTCGGATATATCACAATTGGATGTTGCAATCGCGAGAAGCAACGGATATGTTCGGCAACGAGTGTGACGGAAGAGTTCATTACATAGCCATACGTATAAACGTATGTACACATATATACGCGGTAAATAGATAAGAGGAGGAAAGTGGCGATATTGATTCGATCGTGAGAGAGAGAGAGAGACAGGAGGTAGAGAGGGAAGTAGCCTAACAAATGTGGGGGTGGTACGGAACCGTCTGTGTTCGGCCCTGTTGGCGAACAGCACAGCACGTGCACGGCAGTGTGCGTGTACGTCTCTCTCTCTCTCTCCCTCCCCCTCTTACGCGCGCCTACGCACGCGTGAGAGAGCGCGCGCGTGTAACGTGCGGTGGCCCATTCCGCCGCCGAAGCTACTCCGCCGCTTCAACGACGGCTCAGTCAGCACCGACCCCCGACCCAACCTCTACCTCTACCCACGCCTAGTTAATGGAAACATCTTTTGTCAATGAACTGACGTCAGTCCGCGCGGCGATTGGCCGACCGCGCGGACTCACGTGACCACCGGCGAATCACGTTGCACGGCGGCCGCGTCTCGCCCCTGCGCGCGACGTACCGAGCGCCCGTTGCTCCATTCTTTGACGAACGGCGCGGACGGTCGCGGTAAGGTGTGGCCCGCACCAAGTGAGCGCGATAAGACCAAGGTAGGAATTGTGAAAAACAATACGAGAGAATTCGAAAACGAGAGCGAAGGACGCGAGGGTAGAACACGGGGAGAGGAAAGCGAGAAGAGAGTTTCGTGACATACTTCGAGTCGAGTCGAGTCGAGTCGTCGAGAAGCTTCGCGTCTTCTTGGCCGAGGGAATTCGTCGACGGATTGAGGAATTTCTTACCTCGCATTTTCGTAAGGTGAAGGAGTGGAACGAAAAAAGAGAGGACCGAGTGGAAACGTCGACACCATCGACATCGTCGAGAAGATCGTGCCGATCCGATCGGACGGATACGGAAACACGGCAGAGTTGTCGCGTTAGTCGCGTACGCGGTCCAGCGTGTGCGCGGGCCACGGCGGCGAACCTACGCTCTGAAAGTGGGGGCGAATGAGCGCGGCGTGGCGCGGCGCGGCGAGACGAGGCACGACGGTGGGAGTGAAGTGCGCGGCTTGCGGTGGGCGCGACGAGGATGGAACGATCGCTGCTCGCGCGCGCCGAGAGGACGATGGGGGCGAGCTCACGGAGGGTCGGTGAGCGCGAGATAGAGTGAGCGCGTCGCGTCGGTCGCGTACGGTCGGACATGCATCTCCCGCACGGCGAGCGTAAACATTCCACAGTCGTGCCGTTAATTGGACGCGTCGTCTTGATTCACGAGGAGATCGATAACCGGGACAAGCTGGCGGTGGTGGCGACGACGACGACGGCGACGACGACGACGGCGACGGTTACAGTGGCGGCTGCGGTGGTGGTGGTGACGGCAACAACGGTGGGGAAGCAAGAGGTGAAGGCGGAGTAACATACGCAGCGCGGCGTAGTATCGCAGGAAATGATGGCAACGCGTGAGAACCCGTCGGATCACGCCGTCGACGGGTGAACCTCGCGCGATCGTTTTCCCGGATGACGCGTCCGGGGAACGTGTGCCGTCACTCAACTCCAAGTGCCATTTCGTATATATCCATATCCAGTAATTATTAGTCGCAGCAGACGCTCGTAGAAACGCGCGTGCACGCATTCACTACGGACACACGCTTCGTTCATTCGCTTTCATTGTGGAGAACGCGCGACAGGGCTGACAACTCGCTGGGCTCTTCGACGGGCAACTCAGGAGTCGACGGTATTCGCGCTAGCCGATACGTGCAAGTTTCTTCAAGTGACGACCAGTGACGACCAAGCAAGAATCATCCTAATTATCGTCTTAATTAACAACGTTTTGACAATTATGTTGTTTATTGTTTGCCGAAGGTGCCGTGTCCAATAATGACGGCACTTCGATGCTGCAGAGGCTCAAGAATATCTTTGTAGCGGAAGCTCAGTGACTGATCATCTGAAGGAAATATTTACGTTCGGAAGCTGTTTTGCGGGACAAATCAGCGCCGTTTGTCTAGAAGACACATAAATACTACTAAATACAGGAGTGTGCTAGAATACAAGTGTAAAGACTCAAGATGCCTGATAGTGCAATGGAAGAGGATCTTTTGGGTCCAGAATGGTTGTTCGGGGAGTTGAGATCACAGGATGGTCCCAACAAACTTCTTATTCTGGACTGTAGAGCACACTCGGACTTCTCTGATGCTCATATAAGAGGTTCGGTACCTCTGACTATACCCAGTATCATGTTGCGAAGATTGGCTGCTGGTAAAGTGGACCTCTTGTCCACAATACGGTGCTTAGATCTGAGAAACAGAGTGGAGATGTTTCTGTGTGGAGATGAAAACAGAAGAGGGACATTTGTACTAATTGGTGACACTACAGATTCTGGAGGTCATCAGGGTGAAACATTACAAGTTTTGACCCGGAGACTTAAAAGCAGTGGAGGAAATGTTGCCTCTTTAATCGGTGAGAGATCAATCTTTATCCCATATTCTAAGCCACTGTAATTCCATTTTCATTAAGGTCACACAAAGTCTGATATTTTAAACATATGATATTCTAACACATGATGCACCAAGTTTTTATATTTTAAACTAGAAACAATTATTTCATTTCACATACTTTTTTTTTATTTCATATACTAATCCACTGTAATTCCATTTCCATTAAGATCACAAAGTCCGATATTTTTAATGCATTAAGCATCAATTTTATATTTAAAACTAGAATACTTCCATTGTTTTGTTTCTAAATAATATATTGTGTGTAAATATGAATTTAAAACTTGCAAAAAGTATGATATAATAAAAAGTATGATATAAATTATTATTTGTGACAATATTTCAGAAACTTTTATATAACTAATATATTATTTTAACAAACATTTCTAAATTTAATTATTAAACATCATACAATAGTTGCTAATTATAACTCTGTATTCATATCATTTTATTGTCACATATATGTGCACAAGCAGCATTAGTAATTGTAGTACAGAAAGGCTTTCAGATGTAACAGTCAAAGCATAGAGACTGGTTGTGAATGAAATATTGATTTATGTGGGAGGCATTCCAGTAGAACCAGACACTTAATTCTATAGCCAGCTTTTATCTGGCTTTAGATAAAACTGTTCAGTCATTCAATGTTTTGTTTGACATGAGAAATTTACTGATTGCAAATGTATTAATACACACATTGAATGCAAAATAGAATATTGCTTACTTGTTTCAAGCTTTGTTTTAGAACCTAATAAGTATTTTAAGAAAATGCATATACTGAAGGGATATGAATATTTTTGTGTGATTGTTAATTTTTCCTGAATGTTATCATATGTGCAAAATTTAGTTTTTAACTTACAATTAGTTAATGATGAGTTTATTGCAAATTTTTTTTTGGCAAAATTTATTTTTAATTTGGAAATATTAATACTTTTTCTAATCATATAGAATAAAATTTCATTTTTTAATTATTTAATTAATAGATTTAATTAAATAGATTTTAATTTAGTCTCAAATAGTTATATTATCACGTTATACTTATATCTTTATAGGTGGTTTTGAAGCATTTAAAGATAAATATCCAGAGTGGTGTGAAGGTAGTCAAGCCACTAATGAATGTGACCCAGGTCAGGACAATAACGATGGTGAATTAATGGGCCTTAGATCCCTTCGGATATCTACTCCACCAACCAGGTCTTACTCAGACTCTGACAGTGACAGCACATGTGATTCAATTGGTGAGCAGATATTCCAAGTGTATATTTTCACTGTACATTTAAAAAGAAACATGCAACAGCAATTTATATTAATGAACAACAATACATAAATAACGTAATGCTGTAATGTAATAATAGAGAAAATAATAGTAGGAAACGTGATGTAATAATAATAGCAAACTCGTTTTTCTGCATTCCAGGTCCTGAGGAAGATAAAGACTTTCCGGTGGAAATTTTACCTCATTTGTATCTCGGTAACGCGGCCAATAGTGAAGATCGCGAGGCTTTAGCGCGGCACAGGATACAGTACATACTCAATGTGACACAGGATTTGCCAAATGTGTTTGAAAGCGGTGGTTCAATAAAGTACATGAAGATACCGATAAGCGATCACTGGAGTCAGAACTTGGCTAGTTTCTTCCCGCAGGCGATTCAGTTTATAGGTAAGTGACGATATACGAAGCATATTTTTATTGAAAACTAAATTCAAGCAAGAGATAAAAATATTTTTTTTTTGTAATCAATTTTATGATTTAAAAACTTTGATTTATACTGCTTTAAAAATTGCTGTTTGTAAACATGTTTGTAATTCAGTAAATAGTGTACTTTTTCAAAAACTCATTGCATGAAACCAAGGTTGGTAAAAAATATGTTTTAAACGTGTTTTAAACAGTTTAAAACATACTTAATTGATGTTTTTAATATGTTTTAAATATGTTTTTTTTTTATAGTACTGTTTAAAGCATATTCAAAGTATTAAAAACCTATTTAAGAAGAAACAATGTTTTATTTAAAAAAAAAACATTAGTCTCTTTACCAACCCTGCATAAAATGTTCACAAAAAACGAAACGTTTTCGTTACAATGAAAAAATTATTAGCTATTGATTGATATCTCATACTCTTACTTTATTTTCAATGAACGTTTCGTCATTCACATGCCTGCTCTACTATAAAAATTATACTAATTACCTATATTAGTGATCGATATATAATATCTACAATTTAAATAAAATATTTTGTATGCCACATGTTAACAAGAGATTTTCTTAATATAAAGTGTTTAATTTACAATTCACATTTCGTATTATTTTAACATACATACGTGAGAAGTAGGACAGAATATGCGAGTGATGTGAGATTTATTTATTGCATCGGAACTTTTTTCGCGTCAAAATCTTGTTCGGACCGCTTCTTAAACAGGATTTCCTGTTTAAGAAGGTCCCCGCGCAGCTTCTGAAAGGGGCATTCTTATAAATAGGTTCGCCTAAATAGAAACTTTCCCACGTGGCGGGTAAGCCGCGCTAGACAATTAAACAACGGATGTCCGGTTAGGCCGAGAGCTATATTTACGTCTGAATGACGAGGTTTGACATTGCTATTGAGCCGGTCTGGCATTTTTGACTATCCCGACATATTGCAGTGTTGATAATCCGACTTCCCTTTGTTAATTCCATTTAAACGAATTGATCGTGACATGCACTGTTTTCTGTAATATTTTTATCACACTTTTCTAATTAACGAACATTGAATATATCGAAGAATAAGAAGTAACGTACTTGTAAAAAAACGCTAATTAATATCTCTTATATATTTGTATCATTTTTATTAGATAATAGAACTCTTAAGCAACGATGTTATATTTCAATCAATGTTTTAACGATATTAATATTAAAGTATATTTTCCAATATCAACAATTTTCTAATATCAACTAATTGTAAAATTCGACTTTCATACTTTGAAAAGTCATTGTAAAATAATTTTATGTCTTGCATATTTCATAATTTCGTGTAATTAAGAAAATTCTTGAAATACAAATAAATATTAAATATCGGCATAATAATAAGCGAGATGATAATTGTAAAATTGTAAGACTAAAATCGCTATTTATTGTGTATTTTTCAGAGGAGGCACGGAACTCAGATAAGGGAGTGCTGGTACATTGTTTGGCCGGAATTTCTCGGTCTGTCACGATCACCGTGGCTTATCTTATGCACAAGTGCAGCCTCAGCCTGAATGATGCTTTCAACCTAGTACGTAGTAGAAAGTCCAATGTTGCACCGAATTTTCACTTTATGGAGCAGTTACATAGCTTCGAGCAAGAATTGAAGAACCGAGGGGGAGAAAACAAGAATAACGACCAAAGGTGCATCGGGGCATGCCGACCCAATGGGCCCTGCAATTGTCCGGCGCCCAGTTTCCTGAGTCCCATTGATTTGGGACTCAGTCCCGACTCAGGAATCGAGTTTGACAGGTGGGCGGCAAGTACACCGGCCGAATGAAACGAACTTGGGGGTACCCAATACAAATTTTAGGTCTCCGTCACGTATTATCAGGAAAATCCTGATCGAACGTTATGATAACGCGCTTTATCATTTTTGATATGTGAGACGCATTGAAGTTCGCCCTTCGCGGTATCTCCAGATGAAATGGGATATTAGTCGCGTTTGGCGAGCGCTGAGACGTAGCTGTTAGAGGCATCCGAAGTTAGTTATCGCGCCGATACCTCATAATTTCTCGATTTTTTCTATCGAACCTCTTATTCCTAGCGTAACTATTATATGGCTACGTTTATTAAAGATACATAAAGCATTTGAAACTCTGATTTGATTATTTGAATTCTAAAATTGAATTTTAAAAAGATTATAATTTCTAAAGACACTCATGCAAGTAGTGTCTTTAGTACTACTCGTGCAATATTCGACGTTATATACAAGAAAATAAACTTTTGTCTAAATTCAGAAATAATTGAGGAATGAGAGGATTAAAAAAAAAAAAGAAAAACCTGTATCTCCAATTAGAAAGAAATTATCTCTTTGTTAGATGATTAGCTTTTCAGTATACGCGTTCAGTAATAATGCGCTTTGATATATTTCTGCAGACGATGCCTGTTTATCTTGAAATTTTCAGTTACAAAGGTTGGGCACGTCACGTTGTCAAATCACGCTAGTACGATGCAGTCGTGTTGTGACTTAGGGAAAGAGTAAACGGTTGATACCTTTCTGCAAAAAAAGCAATGTTCATAATGTTTTTTCTGAATTAGCAGCAAAGGATATTGAAAGTATTTTGTAAATGAGATTCCGTAATTTCTCATCGCGCAACAGTCGCGCAATTGTAATTGTACATTCTGATGTTATGCTTCCAAGTTTTGAGAAACTTTTAGCATGTATGATTGTAAACGGTATGCGAGATATATTGGATTCAAGCACTGTATACTCGCGAGGTATAAAGTAACGCATACCGCCGTACCTCAAGAGAATTCTAGAACGTATATACATATACGTACATATATATATATATATATATATGTATATATTCATATATATATATTTTAATACTTCTTTCCCCAAATCCTTCAATTATTGAGGCTGTGTTTATTTTACTGCAAGCGATATTTCATGCGCGAAGTAATCTCTAAACGACGAGTTCCCACCAGGCAATTAAAAGTAAATATCACTGCTTAGTATACTAAGTTCTATGGTACAATTAAGGGAGATCCTGTATACACAGAAGCGTTATTTGAAGTTTCACGCGGGCACGAAATGGATTTCGAATAAGATCGACAGTTTACTCGCGATATTCGTGTAAACTACAAAGAAAGCACAGATATTTTCTTTCGGAAACTGGCTTTTCCGAAATCTGGAGGCCCAAGAAAAGGCCAAAGTTCCAGTCAACTGATTCTTAAATCCGCCACCGAGCTTCTACTCAACTGTGGTAGTTTGTATAAAAAGTAAAACTCGAAATTTGTAATGAGTAATTTTCGATGTAGTTTTTCAACACACTAAGTAACTTACGTCGGATAATCGCCTCAATGCATTCTGACCTTCGAGACGCGCGAAAGGTATATGCACATCGCCTCAGGTACATATGCCAGTAACTTAAGTTTAAGGGAGGACACATCTTAGGAATCAGTGCATTTCTGTAGGGCATTCCTAATCTCTCCTGCTCAGAAAACCAGGTTCGTCACCGGTTTTAACGGAGTTGGAAGAATTTGCGTCCAAGTCACTCGAAAATGATACATGAAGGTGTTACTTTAAAAATTTTATTCTTTCTTTATTTGCAGTGCAAAGTTCTTAAGAAATTATGAAAATTTAAAAGAGAATTTAATTAATGTGCTATTTTACCAGTATGTAGAACTAAAAATATTTGTCATAAAAGTTATAGATTGGACTTTTTTAAGATCTTATTTTTTGTAAAAGTTCTTGTTAATATATTTTTGTTTCATTGTATTATAGCTCTTGATGGGCTAGAGCTTTTAATGTAAAAGCACTGTAATTCTATGTGGATCTTTCTTCATTGATTTTGTTACAGTTTATTTTTTAACATATCTATATATAATGTTGAAATTACAGTTTTTATTAATTCTATTTTAATAATTGTTTTTTTATTTTTTAAATCTAAAATAAATGTTTTGTATTATTAAAGTAACGCTTTCAAATATCGGAAATTGGTTTGATTGTCAAGCAGACTCCGTCGTCACTGTTACATACAAAAATCTGAAAGATAATGGTTCCTGCACGTTACATTTTTGCTGGCATTAGAGCAATATTAGCCCTTCAGATTTTTTACATAGATACTTTTCTACACGAGGATGTTGGGCCTGTGCATTCGTATGAAAACGCATCTAGCTATACATTGCTAGTAATAACTCGTGCGCTAAATTGGATTCCGAATTGAATCAGCACTGTTTCTATTATCTTACAGATCTCAGATATATATTGAAAGTTATTTTTGTAAAAAAAAAAAAAAGAAATGCATTCACATTCCCGAGCCAAAATGGCCTGACACTGTAACTACCTTTCATCTACTACTATATGTATCGTTCATTGAGCATAATTGAAGTTAATATGAGTGTATACAAATGAATGTTATTTTTGGTGTAATAATTAACTGCAAGAGTTACGGTAATTAATAGCTCGTGGCTATTACGGGAGTAAATTGATATATAACTAAGGAAATATATATATTTGACGTTAATGTAATAACAATATTCTACTATTACACTGTTGTCTGTTGTATGTTTACTGGGTGCGTGTGCCCGAGAAATTTAATCAAATATTATATGTGTATATTATATAAATTATTATTTTATATTCATCGTTGTATATATATTTTAACTAATTTTCATTAGAAACGCAATGTATTTTACTTAATTATAAGTAATCCATTGTCATTTAAGCAGGTCATTTACATTCCATGCAGATAACTTCGTCTCTTATTTTCCAAATTTGTTTGATAATGTAAAACAAAATAAAGCCTTGTTCAAATTAATGTGAACGAAAAGTAATTTTTACATTTGTATATATTATATAAGGATTCATAGTGTTTATTTATATATATATAT